AAGCAGTAAGACCTTTGAAGACTGTCAGAACACTTCCCGGGTTCCAATCACACTTACTACAGCTACGACATCCTGAGAACCCACTATATAAGTAGACGACCTCACGCTACTACTCTAAGACTCATGGTATCCAGATGATATATGACCTGAACATAAGTAGGAAGTGTAACCCCCCAGATACAATTACTCATATGGATGTGAGACAATAGCAATAAAACCATAAATAAAAACTGATAGGAAAGCAAAAGATACGCACCTGCAATATTGGAAGCTACTCGTGTCTCCTATATAGTCAGCTGGAAAGCCCTTGCTCCTTGTTGTAGGCGCCTCTGCCCGACCCTGACGGCCTTCGGTGATCCTCAATGTCATAGGGGTAGGTGCCATCACTTGTCCTGTTGTAGCCAAAGTTGGACATTGGGCCTTCTTTTGGCCCCTCTGACTTCAATGAAATCAGATCGGATTTGATCCCTGGGTGGTGGTAGCACTACAATCGCTGCTATAATGATCGATCTTACCGCACTTGAAGCATCCAGAATCACCACCATTACCTCCCTTACACACACCCTCGTGTGTCCTACCGCACTTGCCATAGCAGCTACGGACCTGGTAATCTCTCGATCTCGAATCCGACACCTTGGGCCTCTTGCGTGCACCCACGAATGTCTGAACCTCATTTGGCTTCCTCTTTTTATCTGCCTCTAAATGGATCTCCCTCTCCCTAGCCCTAGCGATCATGTGCTCCATTATCTTGCAAATGAACCTGCTCATAAACCGCCTGATGTTGCTCCTCAGCATTTCGTGATATCGGACCTTCTTCATCTCCTTAAACTTGGCAGTGATCTTTGCCACATACTGCGGAAAAAGAAGGGCCCTCTCCCTGAACTTAGAGGTGATCTTTGCCACTGTCTCCGTAATCTGCTAGAGATCCTGAAACTCCTATGCCAATTGTTGCACCTCAATCATTGGTGCAAACTTAGCTTTGAACCTGGCCAAGAAGTCACCCCATGTTATCGTGTACAACGTGACATCATTATGAATAACATGTCCAACCTACTCCCCACCAATGACATGCTCTGTCCTTTAGAAGACAGGAGGTGAGTCGAACCTTGTCCCCTTTAGGACACCGACTAGTACAAAAAGTGTTGGCGACATGTGCCAACAACCGACTACTAGCAATGGGGTCCTTAGCCCCATGATATGCTAGAGCTCCACATGCTATGAACTCCATGAATGTCAATGTATGCACCCCCATCATGGCTAGCACGTCGGTGCGAAATGCACCCAACCTCTTCTCCAAATCTCGAAAATGCCCTCCTTGACCGTACCGAAGATCACAAGAGTCTGGTCCGTAATACTGTGCATAATATCAGATGATATAAACTCTCTCATCTATTCATCTAGCTTCCCGACTCCAAAGCCCGAGGTTGATCTCTCACCGACACCTGAAATGCCAACTGGTCTAGTATGTAACATCACCATAGTAAAAATCCACCATATTAAACATCAGAATAACTCATTATAACTAGAGTGACACACACACACACATACTACAAGTTTCTTGGTTTTATCTCAGCCCTCCTTGTATGGATCCTTTGCTTTTAGTAGTAAGGGCCCATACTACCATTCACATCTATCCGTACTTTCCTCAAGGATTGCCTCGACTCCACCAAGTCCCTTTTCATTACTACTGCTCCCAACAATAATATCATCCTAGGGTTTCCCTAGGGTAATCTCTAACCTACTCTACGCCATCAGCTGCATAAGAAGTCCCTGCTATCTTCCCCTAACTAGCTTAAGAATACCATTACATATCACAAAGACCAGATAATTCTTTGAATGGGAAGTCCTACCCTACAACAGTTAGACTTAAACGAGGGCTGCGAAATAGAGCTAAACCTAACCTTATGAAATTATTCAGTCATTGTAATATGTAACTTAACATATTCATTCACTAGTTAGTTGAATATAACTATAATTCCTAAAATCACAAAGCAAGCAACATTCGAGCATTAGGTACACATAATCAAGCATATCCTACTCAGACTATCATATCACTAACTAATTTGTACTAGCATGCAACTCATAAAGCTTATATACATATAAGAGGCACATAAGGCATCCTTCCTAGATCCTTATCCCTAATCTAGCATGTAGTTCTCATAAACATATCATAACATAAACTTGTATGGGTAATATGGGAATACTTACCTGAGCTCGGTTGATTGCTTCGCCTATCATAGGTCACGTCTCTACTCTACTGATAATGAGATATGGAACCCCGTCCACTCTCAGCTAGTGGTGAGATATGGGACCCCGCCCACACTCACTTCCCTAACAGGCACATACAAGTATCACAAAGACAACAAATATAGCTAAAAATGCATTCCTTCATTGGGTACCACCTGACATCGAACCGTAGTTCAGGAACATATATATAACATTCCTCGGGCCCCGCCTGACATCATATTTTAGTCCGGAACATACTAGTACCATAATCTACACATTCATAAACATAATCAGATAATACTAAGATACGAGCCCGACCCACAATTAGCTACTAATCATAAACAAGTCTAAGATACGGGCCTAACCCACACTTAGCTACTAATCATTAACAATTCTAAGATACATGCCCAAACGACACTTAGCTACTCTACACGGGCCATCATTTGTGCCTTCAAACCTGTTTCTTCAAAAGGAAACTCACCTCACAAAGCTGACTGTGAAATCTCGCGGTGAGGAATTTCTGACGGCTGCTCCGTCGACTCGGCGGCTATCATCATCACAGTAACACTTAGTTAAAATTTGATAATCATGCTTAGGGTAAGATAACCATTTTACCTATGGTCAAAGTCAATATTCGGGTCAAATTCAACGTCCCGGGTTGACTTAACTTACCGAGTTGACTCATCTACTCGTCGAGTTGACTCATCAACTCGCCGAGTTCTATAACTCAAAAACCCTGAAATCGCGATCCAGCTCGTCGAGTCATCCCCCTGACTCACCGAGTTCCATGGCTACTCATATTTGCGATTTGGCAAATCAACTCGTCGAGACCCTTCATAGACTCATCGAGTTCTTCCTTAAACTGCATCCGGACCAAATGACTCAACTCGTTGAGTCCCTCTCTGGAATCACCGACTCCCTAAGTCTAATTGAGCTATCTTACTAGATTAAGCTACTTTCCTTTAGATCCAAACTCTTTACTTCTTCTACATACTTGAAATTCCCTTTTTAAGGGTAATGTTTCCAACTTTACCTGTTATTAGTCCTTCTTAATGGGTTTAGCTACAACCCTAGTTCTCTAGGACATAGTTCTTGGTCTAAAAGCCATAATACTCAAAACTAAAGCATACTAACATAGACCTAGGCCTTAGACATCAATTTAACATGTAAATCACCTAATTAACTTTCCTTCCAGGCATGGCTTTTTTGGCTTAAAAGGCCATAATAACACCTTAAAGCTTGCATGGGTCTTCCAAGGTCATAAAGTTTGTGCCTTTATACCATGAAACCCCTTCTGGACCCCAGATCTGAAAGGTAGATCACTTAGGACGTCCATATCCCAAGGACTAAGCTTCTTAGACCAAAAACCCCCCATGAAATGATAGGATGGAGATCTAACAAGCTACTAATCAAGGTTGAGGCTTGATTACCAGAAAATAAAGAGGATGAGATATTGCTTCTGGATCTACAATCTTCTCCCAGAACCCTCTAGCTCCTTTTTCTTCTACACGCTTCAAATCACACAAATCTCACTAAAAAAAGGGCTCACAAGCTCACACAAGGCTCTAGGGTTTTGTGGATTAGGGTTTGGGATTTGTAGGCTGGAAATGAGGCTCATATATGGGGATTAAGATGCTTAAATAGGGTGAAAAACCTCGAATTAAGGGTTTCCCACTACTAGAAAAATAGCCTTTAATGACGTGCAAATAATGACACGCAGTGATTTACGATACGCAAAAGCATGCGTACAAAAAATAATGTCATCTATTATAAAATTTGAAGGATAGAGGACACCCATTTGTGCGAGCCCTTAAATTAGTGTTAGAAGAGAAAAAAAAAATACAGAGGACGCCTATTATAAAATGTGTGTCATGTAAGTATGTCGCTTTATATATTTTTTTTAATGAAACACGCGTTTTGAGCGCGAAATGAAATCCCAAAAAATTAAAACCCCGCCTATGTGAAAAATTAACCCCCCGGCCCCCCTCCACTTCTAATCAACAAGAAAAAAGCCTAGGGTCTTCTTCTTCCTTTCTCTCTCTCTAACCTAAACCCCATCTTTTTCCTTGTAGACTTTCTCACCGTTACATCCATTGGTGCCATCGCCACCACAATGCCGCTATGTCTCCCTCCGTTTCTCAATCCGATGTCGCCGCGATACTTTATTCTTCCAGTACAACCAGATTGAGGATCTACAACTTCCCCAAAAAATCCTTGTTGAATACATGCCTCTCGAATCAAATCAGGTAGAGGAGGACCTCGAGGTGAAGCTATGTCACATATTATATCACGTCCCTGTTCGTGTCAATAATACCTTCGGTAGTTATGTTGGTTCTGGCTCCGACGACTTCTATCAGGTTTTTGGTCTAGCATCTTTCAATACTTCATTTGAAATTGCAATCGACATTCGCCTCTTGTATTATGCCCATAATACTTCATGAATGAAATTGATAGGTTGTAACAATGGCTCCTACAACCCTTTTCAACCCTCTATCGCTGGTTCTCCTAAAAAAATTAAAGCCCCCATCCTATCTGGAAGCAATAAACGGACAAGAACCTTTCTTCTTCCTTTTCATTGTGTGTTGTTTCTTATGGATGTCTGGTTAATTCTGATAATTACAACTTCCATTTTTTCTCTCGGGTATCTTTATTTTCTCTTATTTCAACAACTGCACAATGATGCAGTGCTACAAAGGAACAACATTTGGGGAGCTAAATCCTCATGTTTTGCAATTGTAGATTCTGCTTTTAGGTTATCTCCTCTCCACACCTATTTATTTTATAATGAATGTATCGGGGAAATGGTTAATGAAGGAAAAAGTAACTCGATCTTGGTCAGTGGTGAAAGTGGGGCAAACTACTAAAATGGTTATGCATCAATCAGGTACTTTACATGTTAATAGATTTCAAGGGCGTATGTATGTTTCAGTTTCTATTCAACTTCCCCAAATTAATCTTCAGAAACTTCTAGGGTTTATGATTTCCTAGGTAATCTCCAGTGATTAGTTTAATTTACTCATGGTTTTTATTAAGTTTTATTTATCATCATGTCCAGGTCCCTTCTCTACTGTGAGTCTTATACTTGGTAAATAAATATGTAATAAAGAGTAAACAAAACAAAAAAAATTCTTTTGGTTTCTGCATATATTTCCAGTAGAGCTCAATTTATGGATTTTATTTTCACTTTCTGCATATATTTCCAGTAGAGCTCAATCTATGGTAAAAGCTATTTCATTTCAACTTTTACCCTCGTGAATGAAAATGAAAATGTTGATTGATTCTTCAATGGATTCAGCTACAAAGTTCATGTCTAAATAGATTCTTGGATCCTTAATGACAATCATAGAAACAAGGCATTTCAAATGTTTTACAAAATTATTTAAAGAGTAATGATTACGACACAGCTGCTTATTTGTGTAAATGACAATTATGCCCTTGTCTCTTTCGTCTTCTTAATCTCCTTCATCTTCCTCCACAAAAAAAACTAAAACCAAACAAAATCTCCAAAAGTCAAACCAACAAAATAAAAACTCAAATAAAAAAAGAACATAACAAAAACAAAAAAAATATTGGGATCTGTTATTGAACAAGAAGTAGTACTCAAATGGATAAAATTACAAAAAGAAGAAAACAAGATGAATTCTCAAATGGACAGCTAATAGACTGTAGCTGGTATCTTTGTAGTGCGATTACCACTTTGAATTGTGTAGTCTAGTTTAAGAGTCTGTCAATATGGAATGGATTATTATGTTACATTATATCCTAAAAGGTACTTGATGATTCACCTACCTATTATTAACTTAAGAGAAATCAGTAATGTCGTTAATATTTTCATAGTAGTTTCTTGAGAGCAATAATGTTTTGCATGTGATAACATCTTCTCTTAGGCTATTTCTGCTCCTGTTTTATTTGCTGTTGGTGAATGCTATTACAAAGTCACTGTAAAGGCATTAAGAGTTTGTGGGGAACTTGTTCAAGTTGTGCACCCAAACATTGAGGTTTTATCCCTTTCAATTTCATATATTCCAAAAACTTCTTGTATTTAATCAATTTTCAGCCTTGATATTACTTTTTTGATTTGTTTAGGTTTCTGATTTTGATTTCACCTCAGTCTGGTGGTACTAACTGCAGTAACAATGGCTTTTACAGTCTCAACAATGGCTTCTTGGAAAAATGAGCCTCTAGGTTCCCTACCACAAGATCAGCCATGGCTTTTACAGTCTCAACAGTGCCACTCCCAATATGTGGCACAAGGACTACATTATCAAGACCAAAAATTTCTTCAGGTATATGGGGTTCATTCTCAAACACATCAAGACCTGCACCTGCTATCCGCCTTTCAACAACGGTAGATACTAGTTTAGGTTCATCAATGTGTGGGCCCTCTCTATGTTGATGAGAAACCCATTGGGACCCAGTGCATTGATGACTTAGCGGTTGATGATGTGGCGGGTTTTTGCAGTTAGTGAACACGCCACAACAAGGATGTCACAGTGAGAAGCTAATTCAACTATACAGTGAGAAATCAATCTGATTTTGACTTCCTCTTGGCATCTTCAAGGGAAAATATCCTTTGGGACAACAAATGGAACCAGGGAATACTCGATTGTGTGCCTCTGGCATTTCTAAATGCATGTTCTGAGAGGAATCTTCAAGAGCTCGAAGTCTTGAAGTCCAATTGAAACTCTTTTTGTTTTTTTCATTTTATATTAAAATTTTTAATTATCATTTTTTATTGACAGGCCTCTTGTCGGCACCTCTTGTCCTCCAATCATAACAAGAAAAACTTGCAAGTTTTTTGGTCATCTTTCTATTCATAGGATTAAAATCAAACAACGTGAGATGGTATTCCCTATCTTTCTCTCTTATCAATATATGTACATGTATGTATGTATGTATGTATGTATGTATGTGAGATTTATTGATTTTTCAGGAAGAAGCAGGAAGCATGCTTGCCACTTCAAGTTTTTTGGCCATCTATCTATTGATAGGATTAAAACTTGCAAGTCCTGACATAGTTTCTCTTCCCATTTCAACATCTATATATAAATTTTAATTCCCCTTTGTTTTTGTGAATTTTTCCTCTATATGTTGATTCTTGACCACATTATTCATATTCAGAGTGCTGCTTCCCTTTTTCCGCTTCAACATCCTTCTTCTTCTTATTTTCTTTTTCCGTTGAAGCTAACAACCTTCCTCAAAAAAGTATAGTGTACAAATTTTTAAAAATTTGGTAATCCTTTTTGGCTAGTATAGTGTATAAATTTCAAAAGATTGAGCTCATACTATCTTGCATTTTAAAGAGTGATATGATGCATCATGCATATGGTAAACAAGACAAGGGTATTTTAGACATTTGGGCTTGTAACAAATTAGTTTGTTTTTTTGTGTGTGGCGGGCAACTTCCAAGATTGTTTGATAGATTTAAGAGTGCAGAAGGATTTTTGTTTGTACAGGATGATACGATTCTTAATTACTGGAACTTGGTCCAAGCAGACAAGAATAAGCTCTGGATAACAGACAAGGTACTGACAATTACTATGTTCGACTTTATTTTATAATAGTGTTTGACTATTAGCCAGATGTCTATAGTACCCTTTAAATGGCATTGGACAACCCCTATATGGATTGTTGAGAATTATTAATCAATAAAAGAAAATGATTTGACCGATTTACCCCTGGTGTACGGTTGAGAAACAAAGTCATTTGACATATTATTTATCTGATTTCCGATTGAAAAGAAAGTGATTTGACCAATTTACCCCTCATGTCCACTTTAACATCCTTCTTCATCTTTTTTTTTTTGTTGAAGCAGAACCACCTTCCTCAGCCTGCTACTTCTCTTTCTTCACTTGATCACCAGATTCATCATCATTAGATTTCTATATCAAGAGTTTCTAACTGAGAAAAAGGGCTGAGTTCATAGATTCAGTGATTGGGGACTCCAAAGACTCGCATACAAGATCCAAAAACCAAAAAATGCACATTACATCTTGATGAACAGTTTTGTCAATTGTTGTTTGTCGAAAGTGTAGTGGTGAAAGGCCAAATATGCGATTTTACCTAAAAGACTTCCTGCATTACCCATAATTGAAACATGTTAATCACTCCAAGGTGGATTATGTTGAAGATCGGGAAGAATCATTTGATTTACTCACCCTTTTTAGTCGAAGCAGTCAACGGCTTTGACCAGGTAAGCTACCAAAACCAAACAACAAAGTCACAAACTTCACCACTATAATTGTTATGTGGTGTGATTACAGGAGATATATCGCGTGAAGCTACCAGGACCACCTAATATTGGAGAAGGGAAACCTGAAAATAAAAACCATGTCATGTCTTTTGGATTATTATGTCTGTCTCTAATCTATACTTCACTTTGACTCTTTAACTTTTCCCATTTTACTCATATATTTCTTTTTTTTTAACTTGTTTATCTGTAAGCAGTTCTATATGAAGACTGGAAAATGTAGATTTCGTTCAACCTGAAAATTCCATCACCCAAAGGACATCATAATTACAGCAATCGAGGTAGAAGATGGTAATGGTGAAACTTTTACAGTTGGTGGTGGGACAAATGGCAATGGGAATTTGGAAATTTCAATTACCCCTTTTGCCCCTGCCATGTTGCATAACTCAAAAGGCCTCCCCATTAGACCCGTAATAGAATACTACCTACTTCATTTGACTAGGACAATTGACAAAGGGTATTATTGGAAAAGAACTTATTATGCATTGGATTTCCTGCGTTTGAAAAAGACATAAATGCCCTTGATGTCTACATCATTGAACAAGGTGCAATACACTGCCCATACTACATGAAGACAAGGGCTTGCATATATGGGGTGACATGCAGGTTTGATCACCCGCCACCTGGCGAGGTTATGGCGGCTGCAACATCACAAGGACCATCCGATGATGTCAAAGAAGATTATATAGTTGCAAAAAATGAAGATGAAGCTTTTAAAAAAACTCAAAAGAAATATGGAAAAAATGTCGAAATATATCAAGATACAGATGTTCTTGACACCTGCTATCATTAACAGTTAACTTGTACATAGTTTTTCTTCAACTAACAGAAATGGTATCATTAACAGGGTTGGAAACTTCCTGATAGCTTGACACTATTTGCTACAAAATGAAGTTTATCTGATGCCACAAATGCTTTAGCTAAATAGCTTGACATTGTTTACTCATTACTTGCAGTAAGTTATTTAAAAACTTTGTTATTTAAAGTTTAAACAAGTTTTGGTTATATTTTTTTGTTATTAATTTGGGTTATTTATTATGTTGTTTAGGCTACCAAGTGACATTTATCTACAAGGACTGACCGTGTTGATAGTAGTATAGATGAGGTTGCAGAATTTACTGCTATTAAAAAAGAGAAGGTACGACAAGATAAAGGTTGTTCTAGATGTTCAATCTGTACATAATGTGGTTTACACCCTGGTGTGGTTCTTTTCCATTTTGTCTTGTGACTTTGATATTGTTTTCTGAGTTGGATGTTTGATCTGATAAATTATTTTTACAGGAGAATAAGCTGGGTAGGGTTGAATTGAAATAGGTACTGAATACTACCTTTTGACATGTGATTTTTTCTAGCTTAATGAGATATTTATAACAAATAATTTTGAGTTTTTGTTGTCTTTTGTAGGGAAATCCATCAAGTTCATCATGCGGTTTACACCATGGTGTGGTTCTTTTCCATTTTTGTTGTCTTTTGAATTTCGTTTGTAAATTTTTGTTACAACTTCTATTGATTTGTTTTATCTTTCCATGGAATGATTATTTGTATGACATTAAATTTATGCAATGGATTCTATTTTTTGTATATGATATTTTATTTTCTATTATGAAACATTAAATAAAAATTTAATTTGAAAATAAGTAAATTTATAAATAATATTTTTTTTAAACATTTAAAATTATGATACGCAAAAATGTATGTCATCTTCATTTATGACATGGCCTTTCTTGACAGGGGCTTTCTTGATACGCATTGCGTGTCATTAACACGCGCTTCGTAAGGTTACGACACGCAAATGCGTGTCGTCTTCTTATGACAGGGCCTTCCTTGATACGTATTGCGTGTCGTAATTGCGCGTCGTAAAGGAGCATCGTAAATGCGCGTCGTCTTTCTTTATGACAGGGCTTTCCTTGACGCGCATTTTCGCGTCATCTGAGCCTTTTACGACGTGCATTGAGCGTCGTAAAATGTTGTTTTTCTTGTAGTGTCCCAAACCCGTACCAATTCGTCGAGTAGGTTTCTCAACTCGCGTCCAAATTTATTTCTACTCGTCGAGTTATCTCTATTGGACTCGACGTGTTGACCTTCAATTTACAAATTATGTTTCCTTAATTAGTATTCTAGATTCCAGGTGTTACATTGACTTTTTCTATAGGATTTATTCGAGATGAAAACTAAATGGTTAATAAAATGGACTTAAACTTCTTCATATTTACAAGCATTGGAAGGCAAACTAACTATTTGCAAACTTATATCTAATTACATATTTTTGGCCAAAAATTTATCTATGAGGTTTATTGTTAAGAACAATGTCTTGTCATCAGAAAAAGGGGATGACTGACACCACTTCCTTTGTAGCAAAATAATTGGAAGCACATATAAATATATACATATTACCAACTACACTTAATCATAAACCTAGTGATCATAAAGAAAAAAAAACCCATTTAAAGGTCACCTTGGGATCATACTAAACAACCAGACATGAGATTGCAACACCAAACTCTCTATACATTTCAAACACCTGATTACCAGGTTAAAAAGAATATCTAATACGCAATAATTTTTTTAAAGCAAAATGAAATTCTCCATTGGAAATAAGACATATAGAATTATAGAAAAATGAGGAACCTAGAAGTGACACTAAAACCAAAAATATATCGTTTGGATCCCACTGAAGACCCTTGTAACACCGTAAATTTCAAGACAAATTTTTCATTTAAAATAATCATTTTATTCTTAGAAACACTTGTTTAAAATCTCATTCATAGTCGATTTACAAAACATGACTCCATTTTCACTTGCATAGAAAACCAGGATCCTCCAAAATATGACTCTTTCTCTGGTGTGTACAATCAAGCCGGTGCCGTCCCGTGATACTGAAAGAAACCTGAAAAAAAACATCACACAAAACACTGTAAGCACGAAGCTTAGTGAGTTCCCCAAAATACCACACATAACACATATTAGCCACTCGAGGCTATAACTCTATGGGTCCGTGCACCCAAACTCTGTGAACCCTCAGGCTCTAACTCTGGGAACCTTCCGGTTCCAACTCTATAAACATGCACAGCATAAATCACATAGAAATAATGCAGTACAACACATCACGTACATATAGCATACAAATACTCTGAACACATAACTCTGGTTACCTACTCAAGGTAAAGTATAGTGAGAAGACTCACCTGGCAAGCAGAAAGCAGATATCCCCACACTGGAATCTCAAACTCGCCACCGCCTAACACGTAAAGCAAATATTCTCATGAATATAACTCTCGAGACTAGAATAAATCCTCTCATAACACCCTCTCATGGGTAAAAGACTAGTTTACCTCTCTCTTGGCCCAAAGGCCACATCGCTGACCAAACCTAAAAGTCAACGACCAACCCTTGGTCGAAATCAAAGTCCTCAATCTAAGTCAACCCCTGACTAACCCTACTCGTCGAGTTCCCATAATCAGAACTTCATTCAATCTGCGACCTAACTCGCCGAGTCACCCCAAGACTCGCCGAGTGCAACAACTCTGAGTCCACTCGCACTAGACACACCGAGTCATCCCTCAACTCACCGATTCTCGACTCTACCAGAAAATATTTGGGACTCTTCGACAAGACTCGCCGAGTCCAAATGGACTCGTCGAGTCCAAGGCTATCTTCAACCTACTCGCCGAGTTGTTCTTCCAACTCGTCGAGTTCCAAGCCATCTGCAAGCAACTCGTCGAGTCTACCCATGTAACTCGCCGAGTACCACCGTTCTGAATCCATTCAGAAGCACTCCAGGCCATGCAATTGATCCAAAACATAGATCTAGCCTCCTACAACCCATCCATCACGTAAAGTGGCAAACTTTACGTGAATCCAAAGAGATCTAAGCCGTTTGCACATTGGGCTAGGATTTGGGACAAGATGACTCCATCAACCACTCACAAACAGGGACTTTCATGCACTCTAGACCTTCTCCCTTCCAGATCTGAGGTAGCAACCTCAGATCTAACCTCTAAACTCCAATACATCCAAAGATATGATCTCCAACATCCCCAAAATGATGCATCTAAGAAATAGCAGCTCAAAAAAACGAGATATTACCTCAAAGGAATGCCCTAATTGAAATGAGACTCGAATTCAAACAAAGCCCCTTGCTCCAAGCCTTCAATCTCCCAAAATTCCTTCACAAATACATTCTCCAAGCTCCACTCCATCCAACAATGGTGCTTCTTCGTGATTTAGGGGTTTCTGGGGCTCAAGGGGTGATAAAGAGGCTGGGAGGGAAACATAATGATCTTTATATAAGGCTCAACCCCGAGAATTAGGGTTTTCTCCACTCAGCGCCTACTCGCCGAGTCCATTACCCTGACTCGCCGAGTCGGCCACTTAACACGCGACCAAGTCGCGACTCTACTCGCCGAGTCCGCACATGGACTCGCCGAGTCACTCTTTCCCAATTTACTCTTTTAGCCCTTCAACTCTACTCTTGATATTTCGGGATGTTACAATTCTCCCCCACTTAAATTAGGCTTCGCCCTCGAAGCCTACAGCAACTCAACTCCAGAAATACTCCCACAACGTGCCACCTGGCCTTAATCGGACCGGATCTCACAAGACATACCCATCGAAACTCGAACACACTT